AATATCTCATTAAGGTGTTGGCTCTGAGGCAGGGGCAAGTATTTCTTCATCATGCCCATTTTTATCATTAAAATTAATGTTTTGCAGCATAGAAGAAAAATTATCCACAGATGCACTATTCAGTCTCGCTGCCTCGATCTGTGCATCTCTTTACCAAAACTGACAGACATTGGATACAAAGGCTGCAAAACTGAGCTCAAGTGTTATGTGCTAGTCCTTGTGCTAGCTTGCTTACCCAGAGAAAAGTTACTTCTTGAAAATTCTGAATTTTGAAATTTCCACTATTCCTGTAAAGGCTTTTAGATAGCTGACATCAGGCTCTGTAGATCTTGGAGATAGTAACATTAGTTCATTACTTACATGAAGAATTGATTAGGTAGCTGCTATTTTTATTTTTTTTCCCCCACAGTATTACTGTGAGGTTTACCTTGGTTTCTTTCACCAAGACTATATTCAGGTGCTTCTTATTCCAGTAGCTAAGAGAGCATTTTTGCCTTCTTTTTAATGAAGAATTTGACATGCTTTGCATGACAGTGAGGACAGTGAGGCAACTTACATCTTTAATTAATTTTCTTTTTCCTTTTTTTTTTTCTTAATAGAGATAGGAGTTTTGGAACAGAAGGATTAACATTTAAAAGTATTGGCATATCTATCTGCCTTGATACAAAAAGGCTCAGGTTTGCTAAACATTCTGGAAGCTGGTGAGGTCTCTTTGCAGGACTTCATATCTCCATGGTAGCCCTTAGTCTATGCATATTAATAGCCTTAATTTATTAATTTAAGAATTTAACAGTAAGAGGACACTGTCTTGCAAACAGAGCTAGGAAGCTTCTGCCCAGGTTGAAACAAGTTGAAAGAAATGGGTGAATGTGTGTTCATCTTGTGGCCATGCTCTTGGATACAGCACGTTTGCCAGCTAATGAGCTAATGGCTTTCCTTTATGACTAAGGGAATTTAAGGTAAATTGAACAGTGCATAAATTTGAGCTATGTTTTATAACTCCTCTTTGTTTAATATCTTTAATTATGTTGGTTTGTGTGCTCTTAAGTGTTAAGGATAAGCTCACCTTTGAGGAAACAAATTTAGCACTGCTATTGTGAAATGTGCATCTGAATATGGCACAGTGGGAAATTCACCTGTTGATGTCTCAATATTAGAACATTCAGCCCCTCAGTAGATCTGTGTGCTGTCACAGCACATGGAAATCAACAGGTGTGTTTGCACTGGAAATACAAATTGATCAACATAAGCTATTCCCTAGTCATCTGTTAATGTAAGGACTGGAAGTTAAATTAAGCAAGCTTACTTGGAGATGGACAGAACTCTGAGACATAGTGAGGAAGTTAAATTTATGGTTCTGGCTTGATTGTTAAGGGTTAAGAATTTCTCAATCAGCAAATTCTAAGGTACGCTTTTTGAACACTCATTTGAAAAGTTATACATAGATGTTTTGAGTTATATTTTAGTTGTGTTCCAGGACTGTAGGTTGAGGAAATACTTCTCTGAGTAGATGGTGGCAGAATTTGCTTGATGAATGTGTTGGAGCTTAAGATGAGTAAGACCTGCAGTGAGGGCAGCTGGCCAAAAGACTTGGGCATTTAGAAGACAAGACCTCATTTATGGTAGAGATGTGTATTTTTATATGTAATATATAGATTATTTAAATATAGACTATCTTAAACTGAGATTCACTGAAAAAACAAATGTGCTGTATCTTGAATGTAGAAGTACAATCAATTGCTATTGAAAAGTATTGGTGCTTTAAAAATCAGGTCTATATTAGTAACAGAACAGAAGCTTCATTTGAAAGAAGCACCGCCTCGGTTTCTCAGAGAAAAAGAAGTATATTGATATTTTTGAGAGGTTGTTTCATCCTAAAAACATGTCTGTGTTAAAATGTTGCACTGATGATTTTTCTGTGCAGGTAGTATTTCATGCAGTCTTGACTATATTAAATGACAAGCTATCTCTATTTATGCAAACATTTAAATTAGTAGAACTGCTTATTTGTCAGGGATTTAATGATTAGGCAGTAAATAAACTCACTGTTTAAAAACAATAAAATCAGTTATTTGAACTGAAGGCTTGCTTTTTTGTAAGTATCAGATGTGTCATCTATTTTTTTAACCTTATTTTCCTTGCAGTTGCACTTTGCAGTTGATGGCCAGTTTACTGAAGGATGACGGTATGATCACTAGTGCACAGAATGCTTTTGGTGTAATAATGAAGCAGTTCCTTCTCCAGGTGCCACAGTTCCTCTGCAGCTCCAAACATTCTGTGTGTGCCTGTGTGGGTACAGACAGATGAACCAATCATTACGGAACAGACTAAGTGGGGTGTTTTTGCCCCTGCTGTGCAGGAGGGGCAGGTGGAGGGGAAAGGTAGGGCTGGGGGCATTGGCACTTCACTGAAAAGCAGCTGGCACGGTGCGAGTTCACATCCTACTGTAGCCACCGTCACCCCTTCTTCTGCCTTTTAATGTGCTTTTAATGTACTTGTGCAATTTCTCGTTCAGCTCTCAGTACTTTATGTGACGTTCCATATTAGTTTTTAAACAACGTGGTTTGTAGTAGTTTTACATTAACCTAACTTTGAAGGACATGTATTTTTGCCCTCAGAAAATGTCACCGTTGGAATATTATCTGGAGTGCTGATAAGCACAGGTGTAAATCAAGGATCAGGGCAATCACTAATCGTTTTTGTAAGCTGCTGGGGAGGAGCTTATGGTATTAGCACAAACCTGCTTGTTGTTTTTAACTGTGTTTTGCATATGTGCTAGTAACTGCACTGAGCACATGCCATAGACAAATTGCATGTAATGGTTTCCTGCCACCATTAAAACATGATTACAGAGGGCGATGAAAGTGTATATCTTGTTTTCTGTAATGCTGCTGCCTGTTTATAGCAGTGTATTTAAATTTTACTTCTGTCACTCTACACCAACATAATAAACCTCCTCGTAAACTACATGACCTAGAAATAAAGAAGGAAAAGTTTAATGAAATGTTGACACCTGAGTGGTTAGTAAAATGAGATTCAGGATCCCTTCCCAAGAGGGGGTGCTCTTGAGGTTTTCTAGTGCAGTTATTGCCCTTGTGTCAGTAATGGTAAGCAGAAAATTTATAAGTTGGTGTTCAGTTTTCAGTGGTAATCATCTCAGAATTTGTACCATTTACAGATGGCAATGCTTTAAAACCCCCTTTAACCCCCTTTGTAGTCCCCATCCTGCCAGCCAAGTGAAACTGATGAAGTGTTCACATCAAATTGCAACCCCCCAGGGTTTAACCTTTAACTGATGACAAAGAGCTGCACACCTGTAATTATACTTCATTACTATTTTCAGCTGCTAAAAACTGTATGTGTGGCACATGGCAAATTATTCCTTTTCCTCCTACCAACTTTTCTGTGCCCCTAGGGCAGAGAGGATGTCCATGTGCTCTAAACAACTGGAGTTGCCTGGATGTACATAACTGTGCTTGCTTTTGAGGGAGAAGATGATGCAATTGGTCCTGTCTAAAAAGACAGAATGGTCAAAGTTGGGGTTTTCAGGTTCTGATTCTTTGTTTTGTTCTTGGCTGATGGAATGGTAGGCTATTACTCCTGATTTTTTTCTCTAAAACAAATTTTTCTTACTCTTTTCTTTAGTCAGAGACTTACCAAGATTTCTGCAATCACAGCGTGTTTTCCTCTACCTGCCAACTTGTCTTTCAGTCTGTCGTTTTTGGCTGCTTTCAGCTGAATTTACAAAGGCATTGAGGTGTCAACATTTTTTAATTAAAATTTTCTGAAAATAGGTAGGCTTGAGGTATATTAATAAATACATCTTAATGAAGGTTAAATTAGACAGCAGATAAATGGTGGAGATGCGTAGTCTTGTGGAAAAAAAAGTCCACAGGAGTCCAGGCTTTCCTGATCCCATTGTGTGTGGTGCAACCTCCAATGGCAGTAAAGTTTCTGTTTTCTTTTTGTTTGTTATTTGAAACTGGCACCTATTCATGGTGAATAATAACAACACCAAGAGTAAATCTCATGGAGTGATGTCTGAGGTTTTCCTGCTGCTGTGAGTGGCGCGTTTAGTCATGGCTATTGACCCAGCACTCGGTGACCCTGCCTGTCTGCAGGCCCTGCTTGGCTAAACAGGCAGCAATATGATGTGAATCAGGGTTAAAAATAAGTGGTTGTATATTACAGCTTTCTATACACTGAGTTTTATTCACACACATGGACTTTGTCTGATAGCAAGATACAGCTGTCACAGTTGATTTTACTCTCTTACCATGATTTCTGTTTTGGGTTAACCTTGGGAATAGAGAACTAAAACAATGCTAACAAAGTTGACAGCAGTTCACATGGTTCCATTTAAAAAAAGGATGTAAAAAAATCACACTGGTAGGGAAGGAAAAAAATCTTACTTTAACCTTTTTTTCTATAGGGAAAAGATAATACAAAAAGGTGAAAACGATGAATCAGGTGGATACTCTGGAGTTGAATCAACAGCCTAGCTTGGTCTCTGCTGTTATGATAAATAGCACTGTATCTTGAGCTTTACCTTATTTTCCAAATTTACTTTTGTGTGAAAATGAAACATAGTGAGAAAAGGTGTTTACCTTATATCTTTTGAAAGCTCAGAATAAACTTCTGCAGCAGATAGCAGTAATGAGGATTATCCAACAAGCCCCAGGGATCTAAACTAAAATTCAGTTTTGGCTGAATTAAGGGCATGGCTCTCAATATAGTTTCCATTAAAAAAAATAATCTTCTCACTGTTATAGATACCAATTCTAAAGAGCAGATGTAGGGCCCTGACTGGCTTGTAAGGTGTTGCAGATACTATTTTACAGCTCAGTAATAATTTTGGAGGGATCACATCTGCAGTCTTTTACTTCATAGCAACATCACATGCTCTTGCTTCTTCAGCTTTGTTTTTCCAGATCCATAAGGCTGCAGCTTGGGTTATTGTTCATCTATGCCATGTTATTTCCTCTTTTCCTCATTACAGAGATTGTTGTTCACATTCCTGGTCAGTCCTGAAGCACCGCAGTTCCTGTACATTACTGAGGTGATTGAACTCACTTTGGCACTACAGAGCAGGGGCACAGGTTTGGAATGGACAAGGCAGTGGGACCTGCAACTGGGAAAAAGGGTTTCAGATTTTTCTGCCTACTTTTTAAGTTTGTCCTTCAGCGTATCATAGCCAGAGGTGATGCTGTAGGGTAGGTATGATTATTGCATTGGTACTGAGAATCAGGGGCAATAGCTAAGTTAAAAAGCAACTGCAACACATAACCTGCCCAGGGCGTTACCTGCAGCTGAAGGAAGTACAGTGAACTAGTCTTTTCCTTTGTTAGGATGCGCTTGGATTTGGCCATGGGGACTGCTGCTTGTCCTAAGGGGTTAGGAGTCCATCCTCTTCTTGGATGGAGGTATGTGTGTAGCTTTGTTTGGAATCGAGGGTAATACAAAAAAAGCTTTACTATCTCGAAACAGGAATATATACGATAGTATTGTGAGGTATTTTATTCCCTTTTGTTGTGAGCAAAGCTGTAACAAGTTGTTTTATACATTGCACACAGGTAAGCCATTAACAAAGCAAATAGCTAGATGAAGAAAAAGTAGGGGTAGAATTGCCCCCGCTTCGTTTCCCAGATCAACATTGAGGCCCCCTCTGCCTAGCACCATGTTTCCTCAAAGGCCCATAATGGTGATAGATGTGTTACCAGCACATCAAACTTCCAATAACGGAAGTTTTACATCACCCTCATGACAAAGTGTTTCTTAAAACACAAGGAAAAGCATCTAAGACTAGTAGACGTAGTGCTGCCAACCTTCTGAGTGGGCCACCACTTATGCAAAATGCTGTGCTAGCTGCTGTCAGCCAGATATGTGAAATGGGTAGTTCTGCTGCAGGCTGTAGCAGTTGCTCTCTGTCTACTGAGCCCCAGGAGAGAGGGGGAGAGACTGCAATTCCAACAAGAAACTGAAAGTCAGGTTGGGATGTGTAGCAAGCAGGATGAAAACTTGAGGCTTCAGTAGTACCTTCAGCTTAGAGCAATTTAGTTACCGAAACGCCCTACAAATGAATCACAAATAGCTGTGGTTCTCGTAGCATACAGGTTTTCTTTCAAGTTCTTAAAACAAACAGCAGAATGTCACCACAGCCTTTAATTTCTTCTTGTACATACCATTCACAGTACATTAACAGCCCAAATAATATTGCACTGGATTATTTTAAAAATTTTTCATCTTGCAAGTAGTATTCACTTTTCAAAGCCAACAGATAACTTGGTCAACTCGCACCAAGAAAAATGGTTAGATAAGAATCCTATACTTTATTTATACCACATGGATTTGTAACCCCAAAGGGAAATGAGAATGAGCTGTAAACTGTTTCTTTGTTAAAGATAGAAAATAAGTAAATCCTTGCTGATTAAATGTAGAAAGACTGGGAAAAAAACCATGAAATCTGAAAGTTATCTCATTCCTGTTAGACTGCTTGCTGTATATGTAATTATATTCTATACTGTGAAAGTCCATCTACATTTAGAAATCCAGCAGTCTAGAGATTAACATGGTAAAAAAAAATAATATATTTTTAAGAAAAGAGAAGAAATAAGTGTTTGCCTCAGAGGAGAAAGTTTTCAGATTTCAGTCATCTGGGGTTTTTTTAGGTGCAATCTTTGAGGCAACAAAATGTTTTGGCATTTGGCACTCTAATAAGGACAATATTTTAATACTGGCACAAGCTAAAAACAGCACAGAATGACAAAATACAAGACATGAAACGAACTGCAGCCACTGGGATGATGGTAAGCTAGTTTGAATATACAGAGAACTTAAACAGTTTTGCTGATGAATTGTGAAAGTTTCTGCAAAACCATATTTATTCTCCTCTTTTACCAAATCGCAAGTTTTCCTAAACATGGAGGGAGAAAAGTTTCAAACGTCCTCTAGAAAATCAGCAGCTGCTGGACAATCAACATGGTGGCTTGTTAAGCCATCAATAGGCATGAGGCTCTTTATGACTCAGAGCTCGGGTGCGTGAGGCAGAGCTGGTGGCACTTCGGATCACTTCCATCCATCTGTGAGGAGGCACGAGGAGGGACACAAACAAAAGAATGATCAATTCCCAAGGAAAGATTTCTTGAAAGATATAGTCTGCACTAATAGTTGTACAGTTTTATTTTCTGTGTCTACAGGAGCATCTTACTTGCTACTTAACTTCTATCTGAAATCAAGAGGATCCAAATGACTGCCACTACAGAAAGGAGGTTTAAAGAGAATAAGCAGCAGGTGTGGGACCCAAAACTCACAAGCTTAGTAGTGATTTTACTTGCTCTGCAGACACCAAACCTTTTTTCTTAACTTGAGAGTGAAAAAACGTACTTTAGCTGCAATATCTATTTCTTTTTCCTAGAACTGAGAAAGGGATTTTGTGTTTTCATTTATCACCTTTTTCCCACAATGTTTTATTTATAGCTTTAGACTGACATGGCTAAAAGTTAAAAATAAATTTCTTTGATGAGAATTTTGGGGTTTTTGACGTTTTAGTGCTTCATATAAAAGACTTAAATTAGTTCCTAGTATAAACAACCACAAACCACAAATTAGGAGGAGTAGTGCCTTTTCCCTGGCTCTCCATGTATCTGAAGTTCAGTGGGAAGTGTAAAAATTACATGGTGAAGTGGCATAAATATGGAGTAGGAACAGCTGCTTTTGTGAAAAAATTGGAATTTTATTTAAGGTGTGGATTTTTCATGCTGTTGTGCTAGCGGGAGCAAAGCTATTCTGAAGAGCTCCTGAGAAGTCCTGTAATCTGTTCACAAACTTTGTGAAAGCCCCAGGTTAGATGGGGCTTTGAGCAACCTGGTCTAGTGAAAGGTATCCCTGCCCCTGGCAGGGGGTTTGGAACTAGATGATCTTTAAGGTTCCTTCCAACCAAAACCATTCTGACTTTATGAAGTCTGAGACCTAATGCTCCCCATACAGCGAGCTTGATCAATTTTGACTGGATAGTTCAAGGTTTTGCAGTGATTACTGTTACAGCTTCCACATCATCAAAACCAATCACTTGATTTTAGTGGTATCAGGTTTAAAATGTCTCATAATTTTGACAGGTTCTTTCTTCTGTTGTGCTGAACTACTTGCCTGCATTACTGAACCAGTTTATTAAACTTTACATCTATTAACGTTGTTCTGAAAAACACTCCTGGAAATGAACAAAAATTTCCCCTCACAGAAGACAAACTTACCTTTCAAACGTATATTCACTTTCAGCCCTGAAATAGTACACGTGGGATTTGAAATGTAGCTTGAACACATAATCTTTGTGAATGTTTTCAGATTCAGAAGGAATAGTAAGTGAATATCCCAATAAAGGAAGGCTGGCTAAAGGATGATTGTCCTGAAAAGATATGATGGAAAGTGCTGTGAGATCAAATGCTCTTTAATTAAAGAGAGTGCATAAGTAAATGGAGGGGAGATAAGCACTCATTTAAAGATCACTGTGTTTCCACGTGTGTGCGGAAAAACACCAGGCTTTTATACTTGCAATAAACTTAATTAATTATCTGCCATTATTACAGACCATCATCAGGATGGTGCATGTTCATTGTTGGCATTGTTACTCCTTTAGAAGTCTGCTGGCCACCCAGCAGCATTCATTGCTTCAGTCCTTTCACTGCATGGCGTAGCATGGCATGTTTGAACAAATTATTTCTTTATGCCTCTTACATGTAGAATATACTCCAATTCATAATTTTTAATCTCAGTGATGCCTTAAGCCCCTAATGTTTCTTTATTTTTCTAATATTGGTAAGCCTTATAAGTTTTATAAGTAGATTTTAAAAGCAGCAACCCCCCCCCCCTTTGTCCCTTGTCCCTTTCCCTTTCTCTGTAGCACCCTTATTTACACATTCCTTAACCCTCTTATCCCATTCTATGCTCCCTATATCACTCATACCCCTGAATACAGCAGAAATGTTTAGTCTTTTGTCGAGGCAAGGCCTAGATTGTTGGCAGAACAGCATATCAGGGCCTAAACCACAGAATACAGTCAAGAATTAGGTAACTATGTACCCTTTGTGCTCTGAGGGAGATGAAGATGGGATGAACAGGGGGTCCTGAAAGCCCCCCGACTCAATTCTTAGGGGGTGGACTCAGGGCGGACCAGAGTAAAGGCCACAGGGTGGACACATCTGGGATTGGATGGATGGAATTATAAAAAGTAACATCTCAGGCACGGCCAGCGCGCGTCTTGTAACATCTTAGCCTTGGCAAAATAAACCCTTTCTTATCTCACCCCTAATTAACTGCTCTGGAGATTTTTTCAGCACCTAAATTCCACGGCAACATCAGAATTCATAATCTCAGAATTTGTACGAGAGAAAAGTCTTACTTAAGCTTGCACCACAACTTCTGAGGAGTAGTGAGGTCTGCTGTACTTTTAAGGATGATCTGTACTGTGACTGTTTAAAGCTTCAGGAAAGAACTGACAAGAGAGCAGATTGAGAACAGGCCCTGCTCTGTGTTCCAGTGGCAGTGAAGGCTGTGTGTGTAGCTGTGACAAGTGCACCTGCTTCTCTCGCCTGCAGCATCTCTGACTGATGTCCACTTTTCTTTCTGCTCCCTCTTTGGAAAAAAAACCCCAAACATCTTCTCCAGACACACACACTCATCCAGTCGGTTACCTGGTGCGATTTATAGAAGAACATGCAGAAGTTGGTGAACACCACCCAAAGCTTCTGCCACCCGTTGCTGTTTTTGAATTTTCTTAGGAGGCTTCCAGACAGCTGGTTCTGAAACATATCAAAATTAGCCAAATAAGACAGTGGTATTTGCAGCTTAATTATTGTAAGAAAAATTATTTGACTTTATCTGGTTGTACGTGACCTTGTGGTACATGAAAATGTTTTGGTTGAATGGACATACTTTTCTGAATTTTATTGCTAAGTAGTACTTTATGTAACTTTTTTTTTGTTTGCAGCTGGGTACTTCCAAAGTCTCAAAGCTACTACACTAATTATTTTCTCAATTGAGATGGCTTTAAGTAATTTATTACTAAACATAAGTCTTATTATCCTACTCTGTTTTTTTAGAATGATATTTAAAAAGAATGGAAACAGAAAGTCTGACATGAATTTGTGATGTAAAGGAAAATTGTGACATACTTGAGAGTTGCAGATAGAGATTGAGCTCTCAGTACCCAGGGAGTTCACACGGTAACTTTTCGAAGATTTCAAAAACAAGGACTGTTAACCTTATTCTTAGCTGGATTTTGGGTAGTTTAACAAAAAAGGAGGAGGAAGCCGTAACAAAGTACATGTATTCAATGGCTGGTTGAAGAAACTGCTCTTCACATACTGAATATGTAAAGCGCAGTATCATTGCTCCCTGCAATTGAAAGGGAGTTCTCAGTGAATTATTAATGACTTCCCATTCCTTGTTGACTGCAAGGGTTCTCACCTAGATCAAAACAGCTGTTTACATCATTCTGTTTATATAATAACTTAATGTGTAAAGCTTAATAGTCAAAATCTGGAGGTCCTGGTGTACCTACTACAAATGAAGTATTCTTAAAAAGTTCTGTTGTCACCAGCCTTGGGTATATGTTAAAGCCTTTATCATCTCATTCTCTGATATCTGGACTGCTGCCTCCTTGTCCTAAGTTACACATGTACTCCTTCATTTTCTGTTACCTCATTACTCTGGAGGATATCATAAAAGGACAGGCTTTGCATTCGGTACCAGCAGACATATGAAATGGAAACAGGCCGCTGATCACTGATCAGTCCAGCAGGTAGGGAGGAACAGTCACTGACAGAGAGAGGATCTTCTACCACAAGAGAGACAGAAAGGAGGGAGAGACACAAAGAAAATAAACAATAATGCTGAAGTGAGAGGCACCGACAGAATGACGTGAGCATGAGCGTAACCTGCCACACATGGAACAGCAGTGGAGCTGAAGATGTTTTCACAGAACAACACATGTCTCCAGGGCGTGTTTGGTCTTCACTGCTTTGTTTGTGTTCATTTGAGGCACGGGGAAGGAACAAAAATGAGGAACAATGAGCACTGATCTCAAACCTAGTTAGATTTGCCTAACTAAATGTTTTAATTGTTAAAATGAGTCACTGGTTTTATATCTATTTATAATAAGCCCTCTGCTTTAGGGAAAAATATGAGACCTTGTCCTGTGCTGAACTATTCCTCCCTTTCAGGATATAAGGGCATAAAGAGTGGAAAATTCACCTGTGTGGGATCAAAATGAGGCTCGACAGTCAGCATTTTCTAGTACAGAATAATTTTCCTTGTCATATTTCAGCAACAAACTCAGCTTCAGTTTAAAAACAGAGGTGGTTACACAAACTAGGAATAGGTCTGTCCTTGCATGTATATGTTCTGCATCAATACGTCTTCTCTAGAGCAATGACGGCCTGATGTCTGAGGGCTGCTGCTTGAGTGCAAATGCACTCAGCTTTACAATTCCTTTTTCCATTTTCATTGAGCATTAATTTCCATTTGATGAGGGCTGTGATAAAGTACTCCGAGCTCCCTGGAGACTGTCTTGGTGAAGGAAGAACACCTTAGCAGGCTTACCACTTCATCCTAAAACCTACGCTGAACTAGGAGTCTTTTATTTCAGTCTTTGAAAAGTCAGTGTCTGCACCTCAGCTGTTGAGTACAGAATTAACAAATGTGTATCAAATTGGCTTAGCTGTGATCAGGGGGAAAAAAAGTGTTTTTATTTTGAGTTGGAAAACGCAAATAAAGAAAAAGCAAATGAGACTGAGCAATGACAAAAGGTTCCAGAAAAGATGGCTAGGTAAAGAAAGTAAGTTAGTAATACACATAATTAAAACTCTGGCTGCAGCAGCTAAAGACAATATCCTTTCCGCTCGAGCAATGACTTAATGCCTCTATAACTGAAAGCATTAAGACAGTTTGAACTACTTTAAATTTTAAAGGGCATCAACATTTTTTTGGACAGTTACTTCTATGAAAATTACTGCTCTAACTGATTTTACAGAGGTGCACTATGGGAGTGGATATGTGCTTCTTGAGTGATGGTTTATGCCATCGTTCGAGGATATGGGAGGCAGTTCAGTAGGTGTGCCTGAAACTTCCCCAGAAGGAGACAATGGAACAGTGCACTTATTAATGAGGAGCAAAAAGGAAATTGTCAATTCAAAAGCGAGCCTGGAGCTGCAGTTCAGATCGTTCTGAGGCAGATACCTCCACAGCAATACTAAAGTCGATCATTGAAACACTGGTATTTCTGTGCCAGCAGACGTGCACCGTAGTGTTGCCACGGTGTGGTGACTGACGTTCGAGTGAGGTGCGGGATGCACTGAGGTCGTCCTCAGATTCCTGGTCTACAGTAGTTTCATCAGGAGACTCTATGAAATGCAGGGAAAAAGCATC